GCTAATTCCAGTTTGCTTTTTTATTTCCTGAGCAACAATTATATGTCAGGCATTGTGTGAGGTGCTGAGGATAGAGCAGTGGACATAGCAGAGAGGAAGGTTGGGGAGGGAGGCAGGAAGGAAGAGAGCAGTCTATAGCTTGCCTTCAGGAAACATACACTCTTATCAGGAAGCTAGACTTTAAATGCTTAAACAAAGATGCAAATGCATCATTACAAAGAGAGAAGATCAAGAAGGAACAGAACAAGTGCTAGAATGAGACTAGCAAGGAGACACTCCATGACAGCGGATCAGGGAAGCTTTTGGAGGAGGGGATATTTCAGCAGATGAAGCCTCTTAAAAATGAAAGGGAATCAGACTTGAGGGGGGATTACAGAGACCAGCCAGGTTACATCCTGAAGGACCTTTTCAGACCTGTATAAAGATTCAGAATTTACCCCATGGGCCAAGCAGGCTGATAATAAATCAGGAGCCATCAAACAGAGATTGGAAATGGTCAGACTTGCATTTGTCAGATGACCCAGTCTGGGAGCAGGGAAGGCAGATCCCACAACTCTCCTATCACACGTGCATCTCATGTGTCATTTAGGGGACCCAGCTGTTCCTTCACAGGTATCTAAATTCTACCCTTTCTTAGAGTATGAACACCTACATTTCAAGAAGTTAGTAGTCTTGATCCTTTAGCTCCCACACCAGAATTCAAAATACATTTCTGAAAGCTCCCCCATGTTCTCACTCCCCAGCCTGACTTCACCAAGTTCTGTACGTGATGTCAGAATTCCTTGTGATAATCTACAGTTGTGGGAGCTACAGTTTCTCATCTCAGAAATAAATAATGCTTTTTTTTTATAAAACCAGGCTTGAAAATGAGGTTCATGAGCAGCTCTGTATCACTACGCAAGGTGCATAAGGAATGAATACACAGAGCTTTCCCCTATAAACCTGTGAAGTCCTATGTATAAGGTAAAAACAATTAAATAAATAAAAGCAAACACCCTACTGTCCTCCCCCTCATCATTGTCAGGCAGTGTGGGACAGTAGCTTTAGTGAGGACAAGCAGAAGCTCTGGGTAGGCACATCTTTCTGCTCTCAGTGGGTCTGGACCTTTCCAGGTACTTTGCGCATGCGAAGTTACCTGGCCCTGCCCCAATAATTCCACCTCTCCTGTCAAACTATGAGGGATTAAACTGATCCTCTGCCCACTAAGATCTAAGGTGATATTACACAGTCAGGCAGGTACTAACTTCTGGGCAGCCTATTCATTAAAACGGCAGAAACAGCTTGAGAGTCTGCAATTAAATAATTAGCGATGGACTTCACGGTTTTGGCTAAAGACTTTGTAGCAGAAGTGGAAGGTGGTTCTCAGGCTTTCGCGAAAATGAGAAAGGCACCGCCATTTATATTACAGAGGTTTTATTACAGAGGAACTGGGCGGGGGGGATGGGTGGTTCCTGCTGATAACCTGGCTTCACAGGGGTCACAATTCTCTGAGAGAACCCTTCCTTTCAAAACTTGGTGAAATCAGTCCCTGTTTCTGCTTACTTTTGGGGGCACCCTGGGCGCCATCCCTTGCACCTCCTAAGCACATCATCCCTTACTCTGACGTCACTCTCTCCTCCTGCCCCAAGCACTGGCTTCATCTTCTGGTCAATGACGGCTTTTATGGCCCAGTTCTTTCTTCTTTCTCTAGAGGTTCCAAAATGACACCATCGACAGGTCAGCTCACCTGGCCTTGGTGTTGGTGTTGTGCCCAGGAGAGCAGTTTTGTGCTATGAGTTCTCTCCCTATCCTATTTCATAGGTCAGGCTGGGGAAGGGTAGAAGGCTGAATGATTTGTCAGAAGTCATAGTCATAGATAGTGAGCCAGAAAGTTAAACCCAATTTTGACACCAAAGCTAAAGCCCTATCATAGTGCTGTTATTCTCCCAAATGTTTACTCTGAGACTGAGCCCACACACCTGGTTGTCTCCTGGACATCTCTATCAAGATGTCCCAGGAGCTGCCAACTCATCACAGCCAAGCCTGACTGACCTTCTTTCCAACCACTCCTGTCCTGAGAGAGCCAGCCCACCTGTACCCTCCAGGTGAGATGAGCTGGGACTATCCCACCTGGATCTTGATCTCAGCTTCAAGATCAAGGTCACGACTCCCTTGGTGGTTTACCTCCACCACCACTGGGTTGCTCTAACCCGTCCCTGATCTCTTGACCCATCTGCAGTGGCACAGCCTCCTGAATAGCCAAGTGACAGGAGGGAGGATGGGTGTTTGGACAGAGAGACCAGAATCTCAAACTCATTTCTGCCCATTTCAAGTTAGGAGAAACTGGCCAAATTCTCATACAGGTAGGAAGCGGGTAGCACAGCAGCCCTACAGGAGGTTGTGAGGGCTACAAGTGATGTACCTTAAAGCATACACTGAGGCATGTATACTTTATAGAGGCTCCCACTCCCACTAAGAAATAGAGGTTCTCACTTACCTGTGTGTGCGTCAGTTCTCTATATATATGTGGGGACAGTAGCCATGCTTCCAAGATGGTGAGGAAATAAAGGGTCAATATTTGTGGGCCAGGAGAGTCCTTGCCACATGTTGAGAGGAGAGAGCACAGCACCCTGGCTGTTGCTGCAGCCCCACTTCCTCCCCTCCCATCTTTGAAGGCACAGAGCCGCTCACGCGTGCCTCCTGCTTGGTACTTAATGCTACATGCTCACTTTCCCTCCCCCACAGGAGCTGAGCTGACTCCTCTACTCCTTGCTTTCCCTGTCTAGCACCTGACCCAGTTGGCTGCACACAGTAGGACTTTCAAAATACCATCTGAACATCTCTTAAGGACTGTGCTCTCCTGAGAGAAATTCTTTTGCTAGCTGTTTTGTTTTCCTATCTTTTCTCCAGCCTATTTTCTTTCTTTTTGGATTTTTTATTATGGACACATCTGGGCAGCTTCACAAGGCCTATTTTCAAACCTCGTAAAATTACTGGAGGCAGGAGCTGAATGCTCCATTCTGCTGGAGTCTGGCAAACTGAATGGCATAGCAGCCTCCACCGTGCTTTGTAAGAAGCAAACAATTGCAGCCAAGCTCTGTCGACAATGTGTTCAGACAGCGGCAAATGAGAACCAGCCAGGCTCTGAGGGGCTTTGCCTCCAGAAGAAAGTGCTCCTGGGACCTGAGAAAGCAGTTCTGCTAGGCTGAATCCCGGGCCTCCCAGGATTCAGGAGCCCCCTGAATCTGCTTTAAAGCTAAATACTATTGCACGCCGTCCCCAGCTCTAAGGGTGGGATACTGGTCATGAGAGACATGTGTCGATCTACACTGCTTCCAAACACACATGCAGCCCCCTGTTACTCTCCCTACTACTTGCTTGTTTCTTAGAAGCAGTTTGTGCTGCACATGTCAACCATTCTGTGGATATTTGCTGAGTCATTCGTATCACAAGTGAGAGAGAAGCTGTGAAAATGACCTTAACTAAGCAAAAGAAAAGCTCACCTATGGCACTCACTATAGTGTGGTTTCACTGACACCCTGTTCCCTTTGGAAGTTATCAGAGGCGCACTAAGCACTCATTTCAGTCTGCCCTTCACTCACAGACACAGATACGACAGGGAATTATGGAGCTTGTCCAGTCCAGATATTCCAACTCTGGAATCGTCTGGAAATGATCAATGGCTGGAGGCTTCCAGAAGTACTATATTGGGAGAGACACTCAAGTCAAGCCAGGCATGATTAGCATTATCTGCCATGAGTCTTGTGACAAGAGTGTGGTAATGCACATGCCACTTATTTGCCATCCCAGATCGTGCAGCTCCTCAAGGCTGCAGATAAAGACGCTATGTGAGTCTTTCAAGATGGCACAGACAGCACTGGCAGAAAGTGGTGCTCACACTGGCAACTGCATCATCTCAGCTCCCTGGTTGTGAAACTGGTGTTCCTTCCACCATCACACTCCACCACTGAATGGAATTAGCAGAAGAAGCAGAGTTAGGGGGAGTGTGGCAGATGGAAAAAGCCAGCGAGAATAAAGAGCTTTGAAAAACTGGGTAAGAACAGACTAGCAGGCAGGAGAAAAGGATAGTGACATTCAACTGGGGAAATGCCATTATCTTGTCATTATTTTACCAGCATCTTCTGTGTGACTTTCCCTTTTATAACCTAGAAGCCAGAGTCTCTGAGGTAGGAGGAGTAGGTTAGTCCCTTGTAACAAAAGTCTCTGACACAATCAGGAAATCTGGAGTGCAGTTTGTGGCAGCCCTAGAAGTATGTGCACATGTATGCAGTGCAAGGACCAGTGCTAGTGCACACCTGGAAAGGAAATGACACTTGCACATGGCAAAGGAGCAGACCACAGGTAAAGGTTACCTTTACTAGACAACTCTGGTCCTTGCCTGTCTAACATCCATTTCCCTTACTTGGTAACAGTATCCTTACTTGCTTTGAGTAATTACCCATCTTTCACTATCAGGTCATATGATGTAGGTGGGATGGACTCCACTCTGGCTTCAGGACAATGCACATGACCCAGACAATCAGAGCATCACTACCCAACTGGCACAGTGACTGGTTCAGGGATGAGCACGTGACCCAAGAGAGCCCAATGAAATTAGACATCAGCTCTGTTGGCAGTGTCAGGAAGAGAGGCTCTCTCAGTGACTTCAGGCTGAGAGAGAGAAGTGGAGCTGTCAAGACGTCCACATCAGGGGGTGGCAGGGATGGAATTGCCTGAGTGTGAAGTCAATGGAAGGAGAACGGGAACATGGACAGATAAGTGCCATCATCTGGGCACCCATTCATAGCCAAGCCTGAAGGCAGCCTTATCCCTGAATATTTGCTACATGAGCCAATAAATTCCCACCCACTCATTCCCCAACATTTTTTGAGTTGGGTTTCTGTCATTTGCAGCAACAAAGGTTTCTTGGTCAGTAGTAAACAAAAGAACAATTTCCACATCAGACAAACACATCCCCATGTTCCTCCTCAGAACTCAATTTATCCCAAACAGGGTGTTACCTGCAAGGAGCCCTGGATGTCTTTTCCCCCGACAATCACAAGTTCTGCCATGTCTTCTGCGTGGGGAGTCCGGGCATGGATGAACAAGGTCTTGCCCACTGCAGTTATGTTTCTCAGGGCAACGAGCCCACCGTTGTTGTTCACCTTGAAGTATGGGCTTGAGACCTCATAGTGTAGCTTGTTGTTTCCCTTACAGTCACTGAAGGTCACTGGTGAAACAAAACAAATGAATAAAAATAGAAGAACATAAGTACGTTGGACAGATTAGTCCTGGAGAGATCTCTGACTATTAGATGTGGACTATTGGTCCCCACTGCAGATCCACAAAGGACATTCTTTGTCCCCCAACTCTTTGTTGTAGCCCTGTTTGCTTGTGCAGAAGGACTTTATTCAATTAAGACTCATTCTTAATCACCTCCCATATCCCAGGCAGGTGCCAAGCCTGAATGGCACAGAGACAGACAGGACCACCTTGAGTGTGGTGGGTGAAGTGAACAGTCAGAAGCTTAGAGCATGATCTAATTTTGTGTCTGTGAGGTGCTGTGCAGACCCACAGAGCCCAGGAGCTGGGTTAGGTGTCTCGGCTGGTCAGAGCAGTGCTTCTCGTGGGTTAGGGTGCCCCAGGATCACATGGGAGCTATTTAAAACACCCAAGGATCTAATATAAAGATCCTGATTTTATAGTGCTGGGTTCTAGAGAATGGTTTGGGAAAGACAGACAAGAGAAGCCAAGAAAACTGCTGATTGGGGGTTATAACCATGATGCCTGACCCAGATTGGCAGGACAGATTTGAGCAGAACTCCTCCAGTTGGATTCTAAGTCACATCTGGAATCGAGCAGGAGAAAGCAGCCGTTCTGGAGCACCCACATGGTGCACAGCACATGGCCACCATGAGCAGCAGCTGTGAACAGTTGGGCACGCTCCTCTCTATGGTGCGTCTGTAACTGGCACACTGTTCTATTACTGAGGTTATCAGAACCCTGCATGTGCTTGTCTGTCTGCCCTCTGCTGTAGACTTAGGGACCCTGGCCGGTAAGCACAGACTTGTACTACTTGCTCTCTCTCTCCCCAACTTCTATTTTCTTAGCTCTCTGTTGAAGAGGCTTATTTGTTTACTAATTTGTTTAATTAAAGCATAACATAGACATGGAAAAGTGTATAAATCAGAATGCATAACTTGATGGATTTTCACAAAGTGGGCATACCCGTGTACCCCATACCCAGACCAAGAGGCTGAGCATTACTAGTCTCCCTCTGCTGCTTCCTGCCTGATCCCTCCCTCCTCCTCAAAGACAACACTATCCTGACGTCTATTACCATACTGTAGATTAGTCTCATTTGCATTTGCACTTCATAGGAGTGGAATCACTTGTATGAGCACAAGCATGTGCTCTTCTGGTCTGAATTCTTTCACTCAACATTATGTTTGTGAGATTTATGCATGGGGCTACAAGTCATAGTCATTGATCCTGATCACCATGTATCATTCCAGCGTGTGCCTATACTGAGTTGATTTATTTACCTAGTCTTGATGAACATCTGAGTTATTTCCAATTTGAGATCCTTAATATATGGCTACTAGGAACATTCTTGTATGTCTTTTAATAATACATACACAAGTTGCGTGAGCATCTGATGAAGTATGTTGATATTTCCATTCTGGGGAGAGACAGTTCCCATAGAGATAATGACCATGTAAACTGATAATGATAATGGCTGATGTGAATGGAACACTCCACACACAAGGCTCAAGTTAAGCAGTTTATGTATATTACCTTATTTAATCATTACAATGACAATGAATGATGTACAATTTTGACCTCCTGACCCAAAGTTTATAGGCAAGGTAGCAGTTTGAGATGAGGCTTGAAGAGGGCAAAGGAGGTACCCAACACCCACAGTCTGTAAGGATAGACCATGATTTGAACCCTGGTCCATTTACCTTTCACTACTACACAATCTCAATGAAGACAATACCCCATGCAGAAAATATTCCTCCTGCAATCCACCAGGCCCCACCTAAATTTAGGATCAAAACATGGGTACCCATCTATGTTCCTATCCAGCCCTGGAGTGGCCCTGGCGTCAGGCTCCAGTGCTGTTCCCAGCTGCTGATCAGCTTTAGAAGCATTTTTGCATGAACACATGAGTAGAATCTTGGGACTCTGTAGTGTTAAGGGACTTGCTTGTGTTTCTTCTGATCACTTGGTGGCCAAGAGTAACTGGACATGCCTGGTTTCAGGTTTGGGAAATGAACTATAAATGAGAAAAATAAAGGTGACTTTCACTATTGTCACTGACTAGCTTCAGTCCACTGGAGGCACACTGCTCAAATGACAGTGTCCTCTGGGGACTTGTTGCCTGGATTTCCAGGCACTGGCCATGGGCAGATCAAAGAATCAGGGGAAGAGGGGAAGAGGGAGAGTCGACAAGTTTGTGGAGTTTCCAGTGTCATGACAGTTAGGCTTCTTCCTCCCCTTCTCCCTGCTTTTTTACCTTCCTCCCTCCCTTTTTCCCTTTCTTCCTTCCTTTCAGAAATATTTACTAACAGCCTACTTATGTTAAATGATAGAGTTATACTATCAAACAATAATGAACACAGTCCTGGCTATTTCAGGCAGACAGAATCACAATTGCAACAAGTGCAAAGGACCTGTGGCATTCAGGGAACTGGAAAGAAGCTGATGAGATAGGCACAGAGAGCAAGGGAGAAAGCAAGGGGAAAAAAGATACACTAGTGGTGGTGAACCAGGGTACCTCTTCTATGCTGGGTACAGCAAATGCTGCAGGCAAGGCCCCTAGTCACCCCTGGTCTGGTTGGATCTGGCAGTGTAGGCAGACTCAACCATGTGTTGCCCCTAGTTGCCAGGCCCTGCATGCATCCATTCACAACAGCACTCAGCCTCCTATGCTTGGCTTTCAATTAGCTCATTGGTGAATTCAGCCTGTGGCTTATCTCCAAACCCCAGTAAGCAAAGAGACTTTGCTCAAAGTTGCATATCTGGAAAAGACAAGAACCCATCCCCAGTCTGCTGTGTCTGCCTCTGCAGCTCAAGCTGTCAGCATTCCCATTTTCCAGGAATGGGAAGAAATGAATGGAGGAAAAAAGGGCATTTGCCCCAGCCCAAACCCCTTGGGCCTGTCACTTATCTCCGCGTGTCATCAGAGATACCAGGTTAGGGCAGATCTATACTCAGGACCTGGCACTGTGTGGTATGGCACAGCTTCCTATCCAATTTGCTATACCAAGAAGCTAAGGATTGTGTGATTGGGGCTTTATTTTTTTTTAAGATTTATTTATTTAAGAACTGGGGTGCAAGCCAGAGATGGGGGGAGGGGTGAGAGGATTCACCAGAGAGAGTGGGAACAAAACAGGCAGATCTACTGAAATGCACTGAGGGGAGCAGTAGGTGAGAAGGAGAGGTCTGCTGTGCCATATGGGTCTGCTCGCTGGCCTGGCAGGCCAGGAATCAAACTTGTGCTGTGATTGTGCTGTCTTTAACCCTTGCGCCACCAGGGAGGCCCCAGGGAGCTTTGTTTATTGTTGCCACCATTAATCAGATCAGAAGCAGATGCTTTAGAAGATGGTTCTGTCTCAATTTTATGAGAATAATTTGGAAAGCATTTAAAAACAATAAGAATGCCTACCCCACTTCTACCTGAGAATTTGAGGTAACTGGACTGGGTTGGGGTCTGAGCACCAGTGTCTCTTTAAAGCTCCCCAGAATAGCCTAATGGAGCCAGGGCCAACAACCAGGACCTTACACATTGAATTGCTTGTCTGAGTGACAGTTTTCCATATTTCCCAGCAACCCTGGCATAGAGGTAAGAGCGGGGGCCAGGCTTGCTGGGCACCGTTATTCCAGGGCCCTAAGAAAGGATTATCTTCATAGTTTATCTCTAAGCTTTTTCAACCTCAGCACATGTATAGGAGCCCAGGGGCCTTGGACAGTCATTCATCCTCTTTACACCTTAAGGTCCTCATCTGTAAAGTGGGACAGAGAGTATTCCACCCGCATAGGCCTAATTCCCATGGTGAACATGACATAGGGTGCCCAGATGCTCAAAGCACTTAAGACCCATCTCAATGGTCTGTGAATAGGAGTTACTAGCAATAGTAATTATTAGCAATACAGGCCCCAAGGAAGTTACCTTTTCCTCTTCCTACACAGCTTCCTTCTTCCAGTTGGCTTTCCACCTGCCTCTTGTGTCCTTCCACCTCTTTCTAGTCAGGAACTGCCGTTACCATGGAAATGGTTACTATAGGTATCTCTACTAAGGCTACAGGAGTGAGGCAAGGGATGCCAATCCAGCCTTGCCCATCTTTGAATCCTCACCTTCTACTCGGCAATGCTCTGTCCCATGAGACAGGTTGTGAAGGGAAAACATCAAAGGAGAAAAATGACAGGGCTCTGCCCTTCACGGTAGACTCCACAAAGTTTTGTTAAATATTCTTTCTTCTAGTGGATTGTTTGTAAAGATAACTTGTACAAATCTCAGGTATTCTTTTTCTGGATGAATGGCACTGCACTGAGAACTTTGCATTCATGAATCCTAAAATTGTCATTTTGAGGTAGGTGTTTTTTCTTTTTTCCTCTTCAGAATCTGAGACTTAGTGAGGTTGAATGAGGTTAAGATCACACAGTCTGGACTAGTCTGCCTGGGCAAATGTATTCCTTCCATATCTCTCAGCTTCCAATCTCAACATTTCACCGCATTTTCACACCTGATCTATTTATCACTTAATATTTTTCTTTTTAATTTTCTCACATTATTTATAAAATTATTTGAAGAGAATCTTTATAATGCATGCTGGATGTGTCAGATGTTATTAGTTTTCTAATGAAGTTCAAATAAATCTATAGAGTCAAATAAAAACATATGTTTGTTCTTCTATGCACCAAAGCCTCTAAGTGATGTTCCCAAAACATTTTGGGAATGTTGACCTAAACAGTGTTCCCCTCTGCCCATCCCTCACTTAAATGATCCTTGCCTGGCTTCATCCTATGGACGCTTACAATCTAAGAGGACACAGATTAATCGTATGTGATAATCTGATATAACCTGATATTTGCAATAGTAGGTCAAGCATAAATAATGCAGGCTTGAGAAAGACACACATCTTAGGAAAGACACAAATCTAGACTGCTCAGTGAGAGCGAGTTTAGCAATATCTAAATGATGGATCTGAAATCTATGACAAATCCAAAGAGAAATAATTCACCACACTCTGTTTCCTTCTTTCTCCCAGAGAGAAAAGACTCTACCTCCCCATTGATTATATTCTCACCTTAAAGGGAGCAGCTGATAACATCATCCCCGCAATTATTGTCCCATATTATTAGCTTTGTTGATATAGTCAAGACACCAGCGGTTCTGAAACTTTTAAACAGAGATCCAGCAAGTGCTTGATTCTTGGCAGCGTTCAAAGAACATATTAAGGATGAAATTGATTAGTTTCTGTCTATCTATTTTAAAAATTTCGTTTCTATAGGGACAGCCTCCTAAGTAGCTTGGGATGATACCATGAGGATAAATGAAAGGAGGGATTCTAATAAACAAATAAACTTGTGAACAAATATTCAAAACCTCTGTCTGATGGGGGGAAATGAACTATTTATACTGTTCTGAACCTACAAAGGACTTCCTTACATAGTTTATCACTGTGGCATTTAAAATAGCTTCTGGAAAGAAAAAAAATATACATATAATATACCATACATGAGGATTTATTGGAATCACTTGCACAACATCATTCTTTGAGATAATCTTTGAACACCCCAGGAGAAGAAAGGGGAAAGTAAAAACTCCCCACCTGAGGGAAAAATGCAAATTAGACAAATGGCACCACTCAGCGTTTCAATTATGCTTTCAGCATGTTTCCACTCAAAATGTCCTCTGGGCTTAATGCAAATGTCACAAAAAGACAAACTTTAGCTGGGAGACAAAACCACAATTGAAATGGGAAGTTTGGCATGTGAATTAAGGGGCTTAATCTTCCTGACCTTGATTTTATGCTTTACTATTTCTTTCATTTGAATACGGTTCTTAGGGATGAAAATCCAAAAGGCATAGATTTCTTACCATCTAGAAATGTATGAAGGAGTGAATTAAGCTGTATTATGATCCCAGGAAATAGGAAATTGCAGATGGATTTTAAATTTATCTGCAAAATATAGAGCAGTCCTGCTCATGCTGATAAATAAGAACTAATCTGTGAAACTGGTGCCATTTTTATAAGCATTTTGGGGTCAGTCTGTGATCCATACACTCACATCTTAGAGGGTTTATGCTTATTGACTTTGGTGGAGACCTCCTAATTGCTCTGTGCATAGCTGCAGGGCCTCTCGCAGTGGGTGGCCAGGCTCTACCCACACACTCATGCCAGGATGCATGTGCCTCTGTCAGACTTTGGGCCCATATCAGTCACCCTGGGAGTTATATCCTACCCAAGGACAGATATGCATGGATCTACTTCTAGGAATTTATACCCGCACACAGGAGAGAGGTGCTTTGTTTCAACCATGTGCTGGTAACAGAAAAAATCCTGATATGTATCATTTGCCAATGCCTGTGGTGTAACTACTTTAAATATGACCAATTTCAGCTACCAATGTGCCTTCATTTGGCTTACACAGTTTCTAAAAATTAACTGGCTGTCAGGAGTATGAGCGCTAGCTGGATCCAGCTCACCTCTGAGGCCCGGAAAAGGTTCTGTGCAGCAAAGTGCAGATTGTTTTCTCTCCCTCAGACCATACCAGATACCAGGTACTCCTGGCCTAGATAGTAAAACAGAATTCAATCTTTCCATTGGCAGGAAGGACAAGCATATTGGTTGATCTGCAGAGTCTCTGTGGGGCACAGAAAGCGATACCTTTCTGATAGTTAAAGAGCACTCAGTTCACAAACATCTGATGGACTCTCCCCAGGATCCCTCAGTATCCCACTAGTGTCCAGTGGTGCAAACTTGCTTTACAAGAACTCACGGGGATTAGTCCAGGGGTGCCTTGGGCCTGCCCAAATGAGGGGAACAGAAAGCATCCCCTGTAGTCTCCCTGAACATTCTCACTTCTCAAGCATGCTAGTCGATCAGGTTTTACAGCCACATGTTCAGTCCTACCCATCTCAGTTATATCCCTAGAGGCACAAAAAGCACATCCTCAGCCTTGATTCACTCTATCCGCCTGACCCCTGGAAGCCCTGAGCGGCATCATGTGCTCCATGTTCAGCCTGCAGTCAGCACTGACACCCACAGACCTATGTTATGGTTCTTGGCATATGCCTAACCATGACCAATTAACCCAGGAGTAAATTTCACCTCCAAAGTCTTTGTGGATTTGATAGGTTGCAGAAAGGATATAAAATACTTAACACCATCCGATGCGTCAGCTTCAACTTTGATAAAATAAAGTTTTAATTCTATTATGTCAGCTGAAGATATCATAATGAATGATTCCATCAGGAGCTCCTCAGCAGAAACCTATTTTTGCCATGCAAACCCTTAAGGGCTTGCTTTGAAAAAAAAGGCAGAGTCCACGTCTGCTTGCAGGGGATTTTCTCTATCTTCTGTTAAAAACTGCACTGCTATCTCCAAATTCAGTCTTTTCTGCCAGGGTCTTACATTTTTCTCTTGCTAGAGTCTTTAAATTGTGGCAGGTTGTTTTCTGAGAGAATGCTATGCATTGTCTATGCCATGGTGGTTATAATCACTGTGAATTTGTATTTCAAATTGGGATTACTTTATGTGGCACAGCGCCTGACACAGTATACACTCAGCCCTGTTTGTTGAATGAATAAATAGCAAAAGCTGCAACTTGGCAGCAAAGCAAATTTCAAACTTCCCAAACAAAATGGAGAATGATGGCCCAAATTCATGTGAAGATTTGAGTAGGTTGATTTGAAAGTCACCAGATCAGCAGAATAAAATCATGACTCAGAAACTTTGAGAGTCACTAAGTTTCACATTTACAGAGATCCCCACTTGGAGTTGTCATGTTACTGGCACATGTCTCTTAAGTAGCCCTTAGTTTTTGTTTTGTTAGTTTTGTTTTTTATCTAGTAATTGTGTGTGCAACTCTCATTCCTCATGAGTGTCTGTAGGATGAGCTAGCTAGTGGGAAGAATACAGGCTCTGCTGTAATTGGTAAGCTATTTGGCCTTGCAGTGCTTGGGGGCATGTGGCAGTGTCCTGGATGAGGATACATGGAGATTCAGATCCTGATCATGTCTGGTGCCTTGACAGCCCTGTGATTCCCCAATACCATGCGACAGTATGTGCGGGTATACATAGGGAGGAAGTCATTTCCAATAAGGAAAACAACTTCTGGGCAAGCACTTGTAGAACTAGAAGGAAGATTGCACAAACACAGTGTCAGCTTCCTTGTCCAGTTCCATGGATCTGTAGTTCAGGGAGAGACTAAGCTGTCTATAAAAGTTCGAAGATTCACAAACCACAGACGACTTAATCCCAAACACTGGTGCTATGGTTGCTATTAACGAACTTAGGGCAAATGCTGGCTTGGTCCCTTTCTTTTTCTTTTTTAAGATTTTATTTATTTATACAAGCACTGGGTACAGTCAGAAGCGCGGGAGGGTGAGAGAATTCACCAGAGCCAGAGTGGGGAGCAGAACAGGCAGACTGAGGATACACTGCTGAGGGGAGCAGCAGGCAGCAGGAGAGATCTGCATGCCATGTGGGACCCTCGCCCAGAGGGCAGGGATTGAACCTGTGCTGCAGAGGCTGCAGGCAGCTTTGCAGCCCAGCACTCAACCGCTACGCCACCGGGGAGGCCCTTTCTGAAAAGTGTACAGCTTGGCTTTGTTCTGGTACAATAAAGGTGAAAGCTGCTTTGAGTCTTTTGGCATCCTGAAGAGTTTGTGGTTTGGAGAATTCAAGAGACAAACTTTGAGAAGTAACCTTCCCACACAGAGTAGTCATGAGGCACCACCCTCAAGAGTTTCCCAGGAGGGCCTCCCTGGCAGTGCAAGGGGTTTAGCACTGCACTACGGGGCAATCCGCAGCCTCTGCAGCATGAGTTCAATCCCTGGCCTGCCGAGGACCAACCCACATGGTGCAACAGACCTCTCCTGGCTTGCCTGCTGCTCCGTTCAGCAGTGTGCTTTCGTCAGTCTGCCTGTTCTGTTCCCCACTCTGTCTCTGGTGAATCCTCTCACCCCCCTGCATCTCTGGCCTGCACTCCAGCTCTTGTATGCATAAATAAATAAATCTTAAAAAAAAAAAAAAGTATTTCACAGGAATTTCAATCAACACTGAGGCCCAAAAGAAATTTCCTGAAAAAAACAATTTCTTAGTTCTAGTGAGAGATTCCCTTGGTATTCCAGGTATAAATGAATAAATGGGATAAAAGGCAAGGATGTAGGGTAAGGTGAGGTCCTACAATTGTGTAGGTGCAGTTCAAATGTTAATATTTACATGACTGCATAGTTGTCTAAATACTGGAAAAGGCTGAAGAAATTCAAGGTCCATTTGGGAGATCTAGTTTCTTCTGGACAAAATAATTTGCTTTTCACTGGATAATTTCAAGTAGAACTTAAATGATTACTCAGCAGAAA